CGGGGTGCGGGGACCCGAGGGGCCGGGGCGCTGGAGCTGGCAGCTGCTGGGCTCTCGGAGCTCTGCGGGGCGAAGGCGGGCTTTTCCTGAGGCGCTTTATCCCTCCCGCGGACAGGCGCGGTGGGCGGCTGCCTTTGCCTGTCCGGGTTGCTTGCGGCTCTTGGCGTTTCATCTTCCAGTTACACCAGCTGAGCGGAATCTTTATTTCCTTCGTTTGTCCTGTTTTTCCCCGAGGCTAGCCCGAGACGTCTGTCTCGGATAACGCTTCCCCCCCCCCCCCCCCCCCGTGTCCCGAAGGGTGTGCCTTACTTTTAGGCTATATCTGTGCTGTCGCTGGGTACGTGTTACGGCGGTCTTATCGGTGTTCCCGTCCGGGACGTGCAAAACAGCAGATGGCACGTACTCCAACCGAGAGCTTAGGCCATAAATGCACAGGTGCACCGTCAAAACCTCTGCGAATTACACCGTCCCTGCTTGTCTTCTCGTGCGCCGTTTCAGTAGGATGTTTTTCAGGGTTTGCGCTTAATGTCTAGCAGAAGTCGGTGAGGCATCTCGCTTGTAAGACTGTGAAAAACTTCATGCGGTAGTAGCAGTAGTAATATGTATCGGGCTTGATTTCCAGAGGTGGTAAGCAGCCATAGCTCCGGGTGTTTAGTTGGAGTCACGCGCCTCCACAGCTTAAGAGAATCTGACCCCTTTTCCTCTGCTAGTCAATTTAATACTTCCAGATAGGAATCTGAAATGTAATACTTCACAAAATTAAAATAACTGATCTTGAAGGAGTTAAAATTTCAACACCTTTTCCAATCAAAGGCTTGAGGAAATACTTCCCTAATTTTTCTTTTCCCAGTGAGAAGGGGTGCGTTCCAGGGGGACGAGGGGGTAGGTAACAAAGCCGATGCTTTGCAGATACATTTTGAATGAGTTGGGAGGGTACTAGGGACCCCTTCCATACGTCAGGAGCCAAGAGATCATAAGAAGGAGCAAAGGTGAAGTGAGGAATAGAGCTGAGGATCATAGGTTTGGACCCCAAAGTCTCAGTTGAACCCGTGCATGCAAAAGCATGAGGCAACAATTACTAGCCAGACACAGAGATAACTGTTACTTTTATTTTCAAACTCAGAGTGAAACAATACTGTAGGACACAAGAACAGCAATGCAAACAGGTATAGAAGCCATCCTTTTCACCACACACAAATCCGTAGGATTTTTTTTTCTCTAGGAACTTCATGCTCATTTGAACGGCTGTATCAGTTCTGCCACTATGAAGAAACTTATGGCCCAGAAGCCATACCTTCAGATCCAGAACGGCATGACCATGATTGACAAAGGAAAGAAAAGAACCTTAGATGAGTGAGTATACACCTGTATGTGTGTGATGAACATTTACCGCATGTCTTTTTAATTAAGTTTAAAACAGAGGAATGTATGGCCTTATACACTGACTGCAGAAAATACATATTCAAGTTTTAGTTACAGTACAACCTGTTAGATTTTTTGCTACTTGTATCTGTAGAGTAACTTAGATGTTTGCAGCCTAAATGGAAATCTCATGTTGATTAATTCCCTTTTTTAAAGGATTGAAAATTTTCCCTTGTAGCATACGTTCTTCAGAGAAATTTGACTCGTGTAGTTTCCTTTTTTTGGAAACCTCATGTTTTCTTCATGCTTCAGAAAACATTGTGGTAATAATAATTTTTGTTGCAAATGCATTGTTAGCATCTAAAATCAGAAATCGCCATTCAGGTGGTCTTTCTATTTTAAGCAACAAGTTGGTTAATTGAGCATAGCGAGTACATATTTTCAAAGCGTAGATTTTTTTTTTTTTTGAATACTCATTTTACTGTTCAACATTTGTCCAGTTAATTTTTTAACTTTTTATTTTAGATGTTTTCAGATGTTTCAGATCATCTATCAGATTACCACTAGGACTGAAGATATTTTACTGGTAAGTTAATTAAAAATTCACTTAAAACAAGCAAGCAATACACACAGTCAAAATTAGTTGGATTAACAGCATTGATTTCCAAGTAACAATACCAACAATGGTTCCCGTCAGTTGGAGGTCAGAATTACTATTGTAAAACACATTAATTTAGAACCACAGGATTTTCTATAAATTCTACATTTAATTTTTGTGAAAGTGAGGAACTTCCAATATGGTGGTCATTATGACCACTCAGATGCTTGGACCGATAATGTCTTAAAAGATGCAATGTCTGTTCCTTGTTACCAAAGCTTTGATTTACGGTACTCTCCTGTTTCTTTTTTGGTTCCTTACGTACCAAAACTACAGAACTAGAATTGTCCTTTGTTCACCTAGGATTACAAAACTGTCAAGGAGACCTGTTGTGGGATCAAAAGAGGGAGCAGAAAGTGGTGTAGTGTCCTCTTCTTTCCTCCGGTAAAGGGGCTTTTAGGCAGCCTATTAAACTTACAGAAAGGTACAGTAGCTGTGGGAGGGGTTATAACTGTACCGCTTGAGGGGTGTTCTTGTTCAGACAAGGAAATTCTCATTTGTCCTAGCTCTCTTTAGTATCACTGAGGGAACTGTGGGGTAGTATTTCCAGAAATGGAGAGCACTAAAAACACATAGGGCCTGAAAATTTTGCAAGTGTTCCACGCCCCAAAATAACTGGGTCTTCTAGTTGTAAAGGAAAATATAACTAATTAAAAGCATTACTTTCATGTTGTTGAATACACTGTTTCTTAATCAGATAACTAAAGATGTTATTAAAGAATTTGCTGATGATGGTGTCAAGTATCTGGAATTGAGGAGCACTCCTAGAGAAGAAAAGTCCACAGGTACAGTCTGTTCCGGTTTTTGATTTGTAAGTCTGATGTGCTATAAAACTTAGTTAAGACTATGTTAATAACAAGTAAAGTCAAATTTAGTTGGTTCAATAAAAATATACTTCAACTATAAAAGCAAAGATTTAACCACGTAAAAGCATGTCACTTTACTATTAGATTTTTGAGGACAAAAATGTGTTGGTTATAATTCTACTACCCAAGAATTTGGGTTATTTGCTTTAGTATGACATCTGAGTCTGCTAATATTTTTAAGAGCTGATATATTTTCTTTTTGTTACTTCATTTGTTATTTTCTTTTAGATGTTGTTTAATAGAAACATGTAAAAGAAGTCCTGTTGCTACTCTTGTTCACACTAAGTTACTTTCTTTCTTCCAGATGCTTAGGAGGAGGCTTAATTCAAATGTATGCTTCAAAGTAAAGCTATATTTATAAACAGAATTAGAACTGTATAGATTAGCAGACTATGGACTAAAATCAAAGCTGCAAAATGAAACTTAGGAGGCTAGAGAGCTGGGTCTGCAACATAACAAAATTAATTCAAATATTCTTATTCCAAATGTGTACGTGTGTTTGTAGGTATGACCAAAAGGATGTATGTTGAAACTGTACTTGAGGGTATAAAGCAGTGTAAAGAAGAAGGCTTGGAGATAGATGTAAGGTAAATAAAGCACATGGAGTACCACTGTTTCAGGGTTTTGTGTAGTCCGATGCTCGGTTGTGGTTTGCAGAGAAGTTTACAACCCATCAGTGTAGGAAAGAAAATAATGCTTTAACTAGACTACATGGCGTGGAAACAGGTAATGCATATGGAAACCTGAATTTTTATCTTCCTTTTTGCTGATAGAGAATGAAACTGGGTAAAGCTTTTCAGCTCTAAAACTGTCCATTCTCTGCAACATTTTCAGGAAAAGCAGTGTTTTTGATGGAAGTTGCATTAAAGACTCCTTTTTCACAGCCTAGAGTCGTTGCAAAGATACTGCTTGATTAGCTGTACAAGCAACCTGCTGTAAAGGAGAGGTAGTCCTCACCAGCAGAAAAGTTTCAGAAGGAGTCAGCAGTTGCTTGCAGGCAGTCTGCTTGCCTGTCTTTTATACTCTCGGTAACACCCCTTGTTAGATTTCTTCGTGGAAGCTGAAGAATTCTCATTCTTCACGTGTGCACCACGGAAAGGTTGCTCGCCTGATAGTGCAGGCAGCAAATGAGCAGTGTACTGTTCCCTGCCCTCCCGCTCACCATGACTATTGCATTTCACAGGCTAATGTATTTATCTAATTTGTGTCCCTCTGCACTTTGGTACATTCATTCCTTGAACAGTTTCCTATACAAATACTCTTTATATTCAGCCACGAAGGATGTGAAGTGCCATTTTTGTTGGTATCGGATTTGTTGGTCTCCCAATATTACAGATCGTACTTAACTTAATATGTACTTTTCTGTTCTAGACTGTTAATAGCAATAAATAGACGAGGTGGCCCGGCAGTTGCAAAGCAGACTGTTAAACTTGCTGAAGAGTTCCTTCTCTCCACTGATGGGGTTGTAGTAGGACTTGACCTCAGTGGTGATCCCACCGTAAGTTTTTGTTCTGTTTCGGTCTGTTCTTGAAGATTAATATATAATGTTGTGTAACAGCAAGTGGTTCTAATCATACTGTGTTCTTACAAGTTTTTGTCCGGTGTTTGTTGCTAGTTTGAATGGATTGTGCGTCATCTTGATACCAGGTTAATCCCTGCTGCCGTAAGGGACAGATACTCTAACAAAGAGTTGATAGATTAATATATATGACACTGAAAAAAGAACCGCTGAAAAGTAGTGTTTATCTGGGAAGTGTCTGTTACTAAGTTGTCCCAGGCAGATTGACTGGGTTGAGGCAAGTAAAATAATACTGCAAGCTGACACCAGTTTAAATTTTGTTTAGACGCACCAAATGCTTATTGTATATTAAGAAGCAAAAATGTTTGAGGATAGCTGTCAAGTTGAAGTGAAATAGCTCTAGGTGATAGTTGTAGAAAGGATATCAAAATCAGGACAATTGGCTTGTCAGTGTTGGGCATCATCATCTGCACTGCTGACGTTTGACCAATTTGTCTAAATTATGCCCGTATAGCAGAACATAATGTGACTTGCTGCATTCAAAACTGAGGTAATGGGAAAAGAAAAATAATTCAACGTAACTGTATTTGAATTAAGTATTTTGGTATTGCTAGACTTCCTAATTATTGTAATAAGAGGAGTTTTGTGAAACAAACTGTAGCATGGTGATGTGTTTCTGTCTTCAAGGCAGGACATGGTCAAGATTTTTTGGAACCGCTCTTGGAAGCAAAAAAAGCAGGTCTAAGGCTGGCACTGCATCTTTCAGAGGTAAAAATTTTCTTTATTTTGGTCCTTCTCTCTAATTCCCATTATATAAAACCCTTGATGAAACTAAAATTAACTTCTGTACGTTTTGAAATTCTCAGGCCAAAGTAGTAATTGTTTGGAGCATTTTGACAGGAGAGAAGAAAACAAGGAGAGATCTTCAACAATCTGTTCTGAATCAGAACTGCCAAATTATTTCTTACTGTACTGTATCTGTTAGGGGTTAGGTGTGAGAGATCCACTCTTTTCCTCCTGGTATTTTATCGGAAGTCATTTATAGTAAAATTCACACATTTTCATGAGTAGTTTTGTTAGCTCTGTTTGTATCAGTAGAAAGAGTTGAGCTTCTCCATACAATCTGTTGAAGTGGTGGCTGAAATTCACTCTAAGTCTGATAAATACTGAAACCATTTCTTCAGGAAATTAAGCATGATCTATGATGTCACAGGCCTATTTATACTTGTTCCTATTTTATTAAGGAGGCTTTTGCAGGATATTCCTGTATGCTTCTCTGAAAATTTATTTCTTAATGTTTCAGTGGCCTTTTGTTTTTGTTTCTTTTTTGGTTGGTTGGTTTTGCCTCTTGCAGTTTACGTTCTTCATGCGCCATTTTTTTAATCCCTGTGTAAAACTGGCATTAAAGGTCATCTGGATGGTGTAGTTTTGAAACTGAAGCACACAAAGCTGATTTGAGGCCTCCAACTGAAAGTACTTCAGAACTGCAAATAGTGATCGTCTGTTTTTACATACCAGTTTAGGATTATGGCTTCTTCAGTTTGGAATGCCAAGTTGAGAGTTACTTTCATGCACTACTTCTTTCTTTACAGGGTAATAGTGCAGATAGTTAGTATCCCTAACACTTTCTTTTGGATAAGATATGCTGTGAAAATAGAACTTGAAGTCGTTGTAATTATTTAATGTGCTATTTTATGCTGCCTTGACAGAATGTAAAATATATCCTCTCTAGATTCCAAATCAAGAAGAGGAGACCAAAATTCTCCTGGGCCTGCCTCCTGACAGAATTGGACATGGAACATTTCTCAACTCTGCAACAGCAGGTTCAGAAGAGTTAGTGCCACTTGTTCGACAGAATCATATACCTATCGGTAAGAAAAAAAGCTAAGAAAATTACTTGGTGATCTCTAGATTTCAGAATATCATACGTACTGCTGATCTATTAACTCTGATTTGATTTGACCAGAGGTGCCTTAGAAAAATGTGGCAGCATACGCGAGAGGATTGCCTATAGAGGTGCAGTGGTAACGCTTTTGTGGTTTTGACATATTTGTGGCAGCAGACAACAATTGATGTCTCAGATGAAAACAAAACTAAATCATAACTTTTAGTTACTGTGCCAGGCTGTGTGGTGTTTCTGTATCTGGTTTGCGAGCTCCCTAAATTTTATACCTAGCCAGTAGTTAAGAAGAAATTGATTACCTAACTTTCTTCAGAAGATACTGCCAAATATTTGAAGCATAGAAAATCAAGGAAACAACAATAACTAATTTTAATTTTAATTTAGGAACAGAAATAAGTCAATCAGTGTGTCAAAAAAACATGTCTTTTGTTTTGATACATGTCCTTGTTTCTTCTTTTTTTCCCCTTAGAACTTTGCATGACATCAAACATCAAAACTCAGACAGTGCCTTCCTGTGACAAACACCATTTTGGATACTGGTACAACATGGGCCACCCTACAGTGCTTTGTGTAAGTTTTTTTATTTTAACCGCGTACTTAGGCAAAGAGCCAAACTAGTGTGAAATTGGAGAAGTACGTCTCCTTTTATGGATCAGAGCAGACTTACTAACAATTTCTGACCTTGCATCAAATCATCTGCCTATAGGAAATCATAATGTTCTGTTTGAGAAATGCTTGTAATACAAATGGGAGTTTTTAGTATTTTTCTTGGCTTTATTGTAAAGCAAGGCCTTTTTTTCTGTGTAGATAAGATCATCAGTTATGCTGTGATGAACTTCTTAACTGTCTGCATACTGACAGGTTTCTCTTAAACATATTCGTCCAATGTTTGCATATAAGCTTGTGCTTACCTGGGTATTTATCGTGTTGGGTGAGAGTTCTTGAGTTTTCTTGACAGCTAGTTAAGGTCCTTAAATGTTGAGGTGCCAAGTACTTTGCTGGCATTGGCAGGATTTTACTATCATCCTGTTGGTTTAACCCCTGTAATTTGGAGCATTATCCAAGTGTGTGTATATATATTAGAGCATTGTGCTTATTATTCAAATAAGCCTCAATCTTTATTGTATAAAATATTTATTATTGAGTTTGAACTCTGTTGTATTTGGTGAAAAATAATTCATGATTAGAGTTTATTTCTGAGATGTTCAATTGTGAAAAGCCTAGATAACCAACAAAGTCATGTATGTAAGGAAGCAGTTTACGCATAAAGGCCTATAAAAGCAAGAGTAGGAGGAGGAGATACTACAGTGTCTCAAGTTTAACAGGATATAGTTAGCATTCTTCTCTGCGGGGACACAAGGACTCCGAGATGCAGATGGGTAATCTCATTAAACCTTAAATAATCCTAACTTGCTTCTTTTAGATCAATAATCTTTAGGTGGCTCTCGATCACACGTTTTTGATGCTAGCCTAGTACTTCAGTCAGTATCAAGAAATTGTTCTAGGTGACCCTAAGTGCGGAAGGCAAGACACTTGAAGATGTAGGAATACAGAGTATGCTCTAGTTCCCAGTCCTGAGGAAAGGGAAAAGAGTCATAAGGAGACGTGCACGTCCTGACATAGCTTGCATGTATGCATCATTTGACAGCCATCTTTCTAACAATTTTAATAGGAAATCCTATTTACTTGATAGATTGTGCCATCACTTCAAGAAATTTTCTTGTATGTTTGAATAATTTATTGAGTGAAAATAGGGCAAATAAAGTAATTACCAAATAAGTAATTACCAACAGATGAAAGAACCATGGAATAAAATGTGAAACAGCAAGATAAAACTGGTTTGTAATGTGTAGAAAACTCCCTTTTTGATGTAGGAAACTAATTAAAACTTCTTTTTTTCTTTTCTTTCAATGTAACTCCAGACAGATGATAAAGGCGTCTTTGCAACAGATCTATCGCAAGAATACGAGCTGGTTGCAAAAACATTTAATCTGACTCGATCACAGATGTGGGATCTTTCCTATGAATCAATCAACTATATCTTTGCTTCAAGTGTAGTAAAATCAAAGCTAAGGGAACAGTGGTGTAAACTGAAGCCAACTCTGTTTTGTTAAACTGTTGTTCTGAATGGCTTGGGTGTATTAGCTTAGCTAAGCAACATTTTTTACTGAAGTCCCTGGCTTTTTTCAGACTTCAGGTTTATAAATCCAGCCCATAAACTGTGCCTGTGCAAAATGAAGATGACAGGAATGCATCCTTTGTTAGTGGGGACAGAAGTAAATGTTCTTTTGTAGTTGGGAAGGGCTCTCAACCAGTGACTGAAATTCCAAATGTGTCGTCATGTCATTTCTCTCCAGTTGATAGGACATTTTTAAAAAATACTTAGTTGAAATACCTTACCATACTACAAACATTTGAGAGTCAGAGGAAAATAAAGGCACAGCTGTTAGGGTTTAAAATGTCTCTGTTGGCAGCATGACACCAAGCAGTTTGTATGTATGGTGTGTATATTTGGTTTTTATATTGTTTTTAAACAGAAGTTTTGAGCAATTGATGGAACGTGAAGACAGAAACAAGCTCAGGGAGAATGAAATGTTTGTCCCAAAGGAATTAAACATTGCATCCGTTTTTACTGGCGTACACGTATGACTGAAGCCTGGTGTGGACTGTGTAGCACATGTGGTGGTGCCTGTTGATGCACTCGGCAGCGGTGGTATTTAGCCAAAGCTGAGAATCTGGAATGGCTTAGCAAACTGTGAGCTACCTGGGGGAAATGGTCTAATTCTTAAAATGCTTTTTATAATTGTTCTTTGTTTCTTGTAAAAAAGCAATAAAAATAGCTTCAACCTCCGTGTTTTTGAAACCACTGCCTCGCGTGTGCGTGTCTGTGTTTCAGAGCTACAGCAGAGAAGCGTGTATAACTGGCTGCGGGATCTGGCGAGCGAGTCCCCGGGGCAGATGTGCCGTCTGCGGGCTTCTGTTCTGACAGCGGAGGGTGCTGCGTGGTTCCGGCAGTGACAGGGTTCACTCTGCCTCTCTCTGTGCACGTGTTATTTTGATGGTGAGATATCAAAATACATATGAACATACACATGCAACAGTATCTAATACTAGATATTGGTAGTTAGTGTAGGAAGTATCCAGAGAGAAGGTTATTTTGTACCTAGGACATTTTTACATTGATTATATTAAACAAGCAAATATTCTGGGCTCTGCAAGGAATACTGAATATAAATAGAATGATACAAAAGTTGTTCATGACTTCTGTTTTGTTTTTTTTTTAATAAAATCAGCATAAAGTAGTTGTTCTTGCTCCAAAGTGGCAATAAGAAACGAAAAAAAAAAGGGGGAGGAAAAAAAAAAGGCGGGGCATGGGAGGATAGTAAAGAAGTTGCTGTGTCTGTGTGGCTACCTGAGGTTTCCACAGAATGTTTTCCAAGCAGAAAACATTCCTTTTGGAGTTGGGGGAAAATTATGTGAAGCAGAACTGTAGTTTTATATATTCCTATCTGACCTCAGAATAAGACCTCATGCTGACTTTTTATTTATAAACAGTACTTCAAATTCCAAATAGTTTCACTGATCACGTTGTTATCCTTTGTTGTTTGATCAAGTTGCATTATCACTTGCTGTTTGATCAAGTCTGTATTTTCTCTCTACAAAAATAATTACTATGGTAAATGTATTTCTTTTTCTTTCTTACAGAAAAGCTCTCTAAAGACAGGTTGAGCAGCTTTCTGGAATGTTATAGTTACATATATCTTAGTCTCAGGATAAGTGGGCCTACAGTCAAGTGAGATGGCATTCTCTTGTAAAATAACTTTTATAATATTCTTAGGGGTTATGGCCTTCCAATAACTCTTCAGTAACACAGTATTTGGTTTATTAGCGAAGAAAAACTGTCAACTACCAGTTTATTTACTAAGGGGTGATCCTCAGTGTTCATTTTATCTGTCAAGTGTAACACTTTCTAAAGCAAAGTAAGACTCATAATTAGTGTCTGATGAGATTTTTAGTTTCAGACTGTGTTATACAGAAGTAAGTTTGATTTTTAAGGTTTACATGTTGAATGTGAGATGTAGGTGTGTTCATTCAGAGAGCATAGCCCTGGTAAATGCTGCTATTTTCAACCTCCTTTTTTTTCTGCAAGCATACAGCATCTTGGAGATTTTTAACATTACGGACTGTTACATACAGTTCTCAGTATTTCCATTTAATTGAATTCCATGTGTCTTCAAAATACTGCCTTGCATCAGCTGTAGTACTGCCCCCAAACAGTTTGGTACATGATGACACATGGATGCTACATAGTTTTGCAATTAAAAAAAACACCAACAACAACTTCCCGGATTATTAATGAAACCACAGTGTTCTGGATACATAGTGAAACATTCTGCTGTTATATGTAATCTAGAGTAATGGACTCACTCTTCTGAAAAATGTGTACTGACCCTGTCACTTAGACGCTTGCAGATGTGCTGCTAATTCAAAAAAACCACCGCTTTGCATTTAATAGTATGTATAGTGTCTCAGCTGGTAATGTTAGTCAGGAGGTAACTTGGAGGATTCCCTTTGTGTGAAGTAAAAGAACCAGGAATTTATTAGGATGGCTAAAGAGTGATACAGAGTGTCGGGGAATGCAGCGGGTCTGCAGAATGCCTGACAATGCGTGAGCAGCATGACCTTGAGCAGCTTGTAGTGTATCCTTGAGAGTCTGGAAAGTCCCGCGAAGAGCTGTGCAAACAAGACAATGATAAGAGGAACCGTCCTGACGACTCACCAATCATGAACTGTTAGTTACTAACTAAACCAATCATATATGAACACATACTTTGAAGAAGGTAATGAAAAGGTTTGTTAGAACAATAAAGTAGCCATTTTGCACAATCTGATGCTTGTCGTGTCTGTCTCTACTGCGACAACAGAGAACCGGGGGATTTCTGTACATTGGTTTCTAACTGTGTGTTACTGCAGTTACTTACACTGCGGAAGTGTTATGCTTAGAGTGGAAATGAAAGTTGGAAAAGATGTGGAGAAGTCTGGGAATGAAGAATCGTCTGATTAGAACGTTGTTGTGCACCGTTCCCAAGTTGTACATTAGAAGCTGAAACCTTACCTTCTTACTGTCGCAGGGCTATTTTTCAGGACTACAACTTTTTGTAAGTAAAACTGCAGAGGCTCTTCTTTGGCTTCAGGTAGGATTATAGTTAATTTTAAGTGCTTCTTCCTGACCCTGCTTGTTAAATTCAGAGTTACCAGTGAGATAACCATTGTTTAGTTTATAATACTGTATAAAAATGACTGTGACATATAGCCGGAGTGAAGCATCACCACTGAAGTAACCATCAGTAATGGGGCAGAGGACCTTGGTGTTTTTTTTTTCCCCCTGAATGTAGTGGAAATTTCAAGTAACTATTTCTAGAATTTCAGATGGTATAAGATGAGGTTTAAGTATCTATTCAGGTGCAGCTCAACTTATTTTAAAAGTAAACAAAATAGATCTAGACAGAGTTAATATTGTCATTTATTTCCATCTGATTATATGAGATAAGACTTACAGAACAGTCTTCAATGCTCACATCACATGAAGATACGCACTTTGGTCCAACTGAACAATATTTCCTTTGGAGATGTATGCAAGCAGACAGCAACTGCTCACTGTAGCGTAAGTTTCTCAGCTCCTTTTGATACAAACACAGGAAGTCTTCAAAACCTTTATTCCTTATGATTACGCTGGTAACATACCACAGCTTATTATAATACAACTGCTAAACTGTAAGTATTGCCACACTGCTCTTCAGGATCGTAGCTTTGCAAATAATGTAGTTACATGGATGATTTATATGCCTGTTTCAATATTTAGGCATTTCAAACTAATACATTAAAAAAATAATGATGCAGATAAGGGCATTGCATTAGATAAGTGCATAAGATGATGAAGAGACTGGAGCATCTCTCATGTGAGAGGCCTGTAGAGCTGGGGCTGTTCAGACTAGAGAAGAGACACCTCAGGGGGTGGATCTCATCAGTGGTCTTAAATACCTGATGGGAAGGCATAAAGAAGATGGAGCTAGGCTCTTCTCGGCAATACCCAGTCACAGGAAAAGGGGCACAAACTGAAACACAGGAAATTCCACCTGAATGTAAGGGAACACTTTTTTACTGTGTGGATGGTTGAACGTGGGAACACGTTGCCCAGACAGGCTGGGGAGTCTGTATCCTCGCAGATATTCAAAACCCTATGTGACCTGCTGTAGTGGATGCTGCTTAAGCAAAGGAGGTGGACTGGACAATCTCCAGCGATGCCTTCCAACCTCAACTGTTCTGTGATTTTGTGGAATGAATATACAAATATACAAATGATAAAGTCCCTATATGAATAAAAAAATCTTTTAAAATTAAATACTGAATTAACTCAGTCACTCAAGTGACAATTTCTCACCAGGCTTGAGCAAAAGCAGTTGACTGACTTGTGAGATTTGTTTTTAAAGAATGATTGATTCATTCTTCATAGCCTTCCTTCTTTCACATCCATTGTGGAATCCTTTAGTGCCATCAGGACCTTTAGGCAGCCGCAGCACCCCTACAGGTAGACCATCTGCATTTTGTATTTTCCGAGCCAACATGGGGCTACTGCCGGGACTCTTCTCTTGTGTTACGGTTTGAGATTTTCTTCTCTGTACCCAGGGGCTACCACAAGGAGTGATACTGCTATCTGAGGAATAATCTGTACATTTCTGTGGAATTTCAGGACTACTGCTTGGGTTAAGCTTGCTGTCTTCAGCCAGCGGAGACTTTCTGGTTACTTTTCTCAGTGAAGATGGACTATTCCAAGGACTTGATCTGGGTGACACATTAGGACTCAAATGGTTGTTTGAGTGGATGATGGGGCTCAAATTACTCTTAGTATTTGTTGCAGTACTTTTGCGTCCTGACAACGGTGATGTAGGATTACTCTCTGGGTCAGAAGAGCTATTTGCTGACGATTCGTCACCAACAAACTGAAGTTCCTCAACTCTCTTATTAAGGGATCTAGCCTTCTTAAGACTCTTGCTGGTATCGTCATCTTGGTTCTTGTCTTTGGGAACTTTTTTCTTTGGAGGTTTCATGCCTATTAGGACAACTTTCATGCTGGTCTCTTTCTTTTCAGCACACATGAAGTCATGAGCACGCACGGCAGCATCTACTTCTTCAAATTCTATAATAGCACATTCCTGAGTTGCCAGTTGGGTGTACCGATTGCTGACCCTCCTGATATCAGGTGGTAGATCCCTACCAGGCTTGAGAATACGAACTGATGAAATTACACCAAAAGTTACAAAGGTTTTGAGGAGATGCTCCATTATCCTTTCTTGCATGCATCCGTTTTCTTGTTGTTTGTTAAGAGCCTGCAGCTCAGAAATCATGTGGATATCATACACCAGTAACATCCTGGTAGGGAGGTTTTCACTTGGAAACACTGGAACTGGAGTATTTCTTCTAACCTTTCTGTTATCGTCATTGAGCTCAAGAGTGTCTGAGTACTTCAGTGCATAGGCTGTGGTCCTCCAGTCACGGGTAAGGTGTTTCACCTTGAAGACAGACACAGGTTAAGCAGCACAACTAATCAAACCCACTCAAACTAATTACAGAAAGTGTAAGGCAGATGCAGCCTCCAGTCTACAAAGAGAAACCTGGATTTAAGTTTCATGTATCAGACTTGAGTGAAGAAGTAAACAGTTTTCCTGCTATAATGGGCATCACTGAGTTCCTGTAAAGCTCATGGCATGTTGAATCTACAGAAGATAGGAACTGATGCTACATCTCAAACGGAAAATCATTACTTTATCTTAAAGCCTGCTCAAGTGATGTTCAGTCATTCCATATCTAGGTCTGAACCATGACAAAATGCATGTTCTGTAGGTTTTATTTTGTTAAATTTGCCAAACAAGTAGTTTTGCCAAGTTTAGGACTTCATTTTACTGAACTGATTTTTCTTCCCTCAAAAATCTCACTTTAAAAACCCCCGAAAATTCGCCATTTCCAAGGAGTGTTTTTAAGAGTTTATCTGTTATCAGTATAATCTGTTTGAAGTAGTCTGAAGAAACTGGGAGTGCCTTAACTTCTAGACCGAATAGCTCTGCAAAACTGTCAGATTTAGAATCTTGACAAAGTGTTTCTAACGTAATTTAAGAAATCAGTTACATACACATATGTACATAGGAGTTCCTAATGTAAAAAAAAAAAAAAAGAATAAAACCCACCTCACCTTTAAGTTACTTCAGTTACCAGATACTTTTTACTAGTCTTAATTTTTGGATCTCTGTACATTTGCAAAGGTCAGATTCACCATCCCTTCACAGAGACAGAAAAGTAACTTTACATAGCTACTCATGAGTAGCTGATCTAGAAATGACTTTGAATCCAATGTCCCATTTACTATGCCTTACTGTCTCCCAGAATGGTAATTTAAAAGCTTAGTTGCTTAAAAGCGTATGATTTCCCTAGCCAATCATGAAGAAGTTCCGGAAGTGAAGTTCTGGATGAGAACACACCTAACCATCACATCAAAACTTAACTGACCCCTGAGAGAGGCTGATAAAGAGGAAGACTGTAAAACAACCTCTATAAAATAAGTTATTTCCATCTTATCTCTCCTAATGTTTTTAGATTCACCAGGCTTACACAAGGTGCTTCAAGTCTTAAAAAGGTAACTTACCTTCTTAAAAGAAGTAAGGAGTTTAACACTGACATAGCCCATCTTATTTCTTCTCACATGCTTTAGAAGGAAGGCATCTTTCTCAAGGTTCTCATCTGAGAAGTAATATTCAATCTGTGCTATTAACTTCTGGATCAGGTCATTTTCTGGTGGTTTCCAGTTCTGGTCAGAGTCATCATCATTTTCCCCACCACTAGAAAACAGTTAAATCATTTTATTAACAGATCTTCATCTTATATTAGTGGATTCAAATACTCTTTCAAAATGAAAAGGCATAACCATAATGCTGATTCCAACTTACTTTATACGTAGGCACTGAACAGGTATCACCCTAGCCATCTGAGGCAGGAGGCCAGCTCAGAGGATGAAGCTTTCCAGTCAGCATAAGAAGTCAAGTTCCTGAGCTCATTCCAAAAGCTGATCTCAGTGTAGAGCAATGAGACATATACACTAGCATCTTGAAAACACTCTGTCAACTCAAATCCTACACCAAAACATGAAATGCAGGTGCACAGGCACTTGGTGCTGTACAAAGTTCCTCCAGTGACAGTATTTTGGGTTTCAGTATGAAGCTATTAAACAATGGCTTGACATTTATGTGCTTCATGAGTAGTGTCACGTACCAGCGAATGAATATTCCAACTTGATGCAACCATGATTTCTCAAGCCTCGTCACTGCATGAATGCAGGAGCCAGTATCCAGGGAGCAAGAAAGGCTGACAGGAGGACTACTGCACTTTTTACAGGTCACTTCCAGAGTGACAGAGTAACTTAACTAGCAGTTTACCAAGGGGCTTAAACTGTACGGACGTTTCAGATTAAGGACTTTGGTGCAGTAGCAGCTCATGTACCTCAGGAACAGCTGTATAGCACTTATATGCAGGTTGTTAAGAAGTCATTCTCATTTCCTCTCTTCCCCCTCCCATCATGTTGTCTAGGTATCTGTGCAAAACGAAGCACTACTGGGCATCCTATCCCCCCCCAAAGATATTGCAACCATGGATTTGAGATTTACTTCTTGCCACATACAGCTACAGCAACATGTTTGTTGCTGAAATACAAACGACCATTTAAATTGTTATCTAGCACTGAGGCAAATAGTTCACCCACAGACTACAGCCATAGAAGTTGCTATATGAACCATAACGCACAAATCTGTCTTAAGCCAGAGTCACTTTTTTTAAAGCTGTTAGCAGCCCAGTTTTGCTGTGGGACCATCATGTAAGTTTCTGTTAAAAAAAAAAAAATCATCCACTAAGCTCCCTAGACCCTATAAGTCATGTATTACTTTGGTGTCCTATGTGCGTCAGCAACAAAAAAGGAGAAGCCACACATTTTCTCAAAATGGTCCTAAATGGCTTTTTGCAGAGCTTGTGGAATCATTAAACAAAGGAGCAGGCATCACACTAGAGTCCTCCGAGGGCAATCTGGCAGGGAGGATGCAGGCTAATGAACCACCTTGTCTTGTGGCAGTTTTGTCCTGGAGACAAACTGGAGACTGTTACCTTAATGCTGACTGACGTGCCACCCATGCCTGGGCGCAGGCAGAAGCACTGCCTAGGCAGGTGCTTGCTGTACATCTGAAGATATTGTTCAGGTCAGTGGGCTCTGCACAGGGAACGTGCTCCCAGCTGTGACAAGTTATGGCAGTTCTCTGGGACCTAGCTTTCTGAAGCTAACAATTTATTCACTTATTATGGTTCTTCTGATGATAGGGCAACACATCAGATATACACGGATACTCACTCACACAATCCTGGAAGTCTCCTTGTTAAAATCTCCCTAGCCACTTAATGGGCTACAGTTCAAAGAAATGAGAAGAGTGAGAGAGCAAGAAAAAGAATTTAAGTTATTTGACAATGCCAGAAGTGGAGGACAATAAGTGAAGTTATGAATAAGATAGTAAAAAACATTCAGTGGGAAGCTGTGGGTGCTGGTTTGAGAAGGAAGACAAAACAAGGTTAAGTGTTTATTTTTCATTCGTGATGTTCCCTTACTCCACTACTTCTCATTTTTCATTCACTACCGATTCAGAACTAGTGTGGGCACAAGAAACTTAGAACATTTCAGCATTTTTACATATCCACACTCTGCTAAGAAAAGCTTACTTTCAATTCAGGATGGAGCTTACAGGTTTTTTAGAGGATTTATTAGTACAGACATTTGCAGGTGTTTGGAAGGTTTGGATGGAAAGAAAATGGAGCATCATGCTTCAGGGAAAAAAAAAAAAAGAACTGCATGTTTGCAAAGATCAGTACCATCCTTACTTACAGTGCTAACACACTGAATAAGAGACAGGTCTCAATTCACCTCTCTAAATTAAATATTGGTCACAGTCTGAATTATACACCTTTTCTCTATTTGGCAGACAGTTCAGCATTTACAAAATCTTTAGGGCTTTTACAACAGCCTTCACTAAGTACTGTAGGGAAATTCCACCTACAGCAAATGCAGAAATTTGTAACTAGCTCCATATTAATTCATAGTAATGATCAGCTGGTAGTATCTCTAGGGTATCAACTCTGCTACAAAGGTAGTTGATAAATCAATGGCAGTCAACATTGACAAAAAAAAAAAGCCTAATAGTTATTCACAACTTTCATTTACCTATTTATTTATTCAGAGCTTTGTGATGGATATGCTTGTCAAAACATGATAGACTGAAAACCTACCTTTTAACATGGTGACTCATCTGGCTATTAGTCACACAAGAAAGTAAACACATATCTGCACAGAGAATAGACTTTGGGTTTTAAACATCAAAACTCACAAACAGTACATTAAATTGTCTGGATAGAGTCTAACTTTTTGACAAGCTTTTGCTGAGTCTCAAAAAGAATAAGGTATTGTATTAATAAGCACTATGTGGCAATATAATCTACAGCATTAAGTTGATGTTCCAACAGTACAATCTCCCAAAGGCAGTGCAAGTCTGCCAACAAAAACTAGTGGATACAATACTGGGTGCCTATTAATGGGACATGTGGCTGCAGCAATCATTAAATTTCAACTTCTATTGTGAGACATTATATTTCAGACCGACAACATCATAAAGATGTTCACCTTTCAAGCTCAGATTCTTCCTGCGTCTGTCTGCATCCAAAATAAACTTAAGTTCAGCAAGAACAGCTTTACTTTATGTGCAGGAGAACTACCTGTTTGTTATAAACAGTCTGAAGGTTTTTCTGAAGCACCTGGCAGCTAAATGGCTGAGGACTGAATATCATAAATACTCAGAGATCTCCTGAAGAACTGTGGTGTCTTGACCATGAGGAAATGGTTTTCATTTCTTAAGTTATAAAACCTAGAAACTGAGGAAAAAAATCTAAATTGTCTGCTAGCTTAGCTGGAGAGCTAAATGGCTCATTCCCAGCAGTTTTAGACCATCGCAATTTTTCAAATGTTTGGGTAAATAACTTCCTACCAGATGTTTCATTCCCAAAAGTAAACCTGTAGCTAAGGTTACATGTAAATGGCAAAAGCATGTGTGAACTCCACTCACCTACTTCTGATGCAGAGCCTTTATAGTTCTCTCCAGGGCAATACCTCTGGCCTTTCCTGGATCAGGAAGAGGCCATTTACAAAAAGGCAACCTCCACAAGAACTGAATATACATCAGTACTGACAGCAAACATTTCTGAAGACAGCACCTACTGCAGACGATTAAATTAGCGACATTTAAGAGTTAGCTATTATGTGTTACAAACTTTGAAAAAATAAGCACCCATTTTTCCAGTCTAGGCCAGGGCTAGAAGCTCTTACACAAGCAACATTGTCAAAGAAAACAAATGTAAAAAATACTCTGAATTTAAGAAATCAGTAATTAGAATGCAACACTATAGACTGCTGTACACATTTGATTTATAAAAATACAACAGTCACATAGGATTGTGGAAAGACCAAGCAGACTCAGTTTAAACATTTTACTTGTGTCTAGCTATGCTCGCCTCCTGTTTCCGTAGCGCACAGTCGACAGCTTTGGCAGCTGGAGAAAATTCCCGCTCTCCAACTACCCCTCTGTAATTTAAAATAATACACTGCAGTTCATTCTGAGTCAGTGCTAGGATATGAAGTTAGAGAATCTATTAGAAACAATTGATCTTCTAACAGAATACTGAATTTCATGCTACTGTACCTAAATCTTTATGTGACTGAATTTATTACTGCATCTGCAGCTTTAATACAACACATAAGACAGACTACAACTAACGAGCTTTGTCTCTCGGCAGTTTTTTGGCACAAAAATCCTGGATGTTTCTTTTACAAGAAAGAGATTCTGGTAGGCTTCAAAGTAACTTAATTCCTGCAATTTATCATTAAATACAGACAACACTATTGGCATTATCAAGCAGTGAAGCGTAGAGTAGATTATAAAGTGGTAGTTCCTTCTGCATTTAAGCTGGTCTTGATTTCATGTCTGGCCAACTTGTTTCCAAAGCCCTAGAACGGGTCTGCTTGTCCGTCTCTTAATTCTACTAAAGAAAATCTCTACGCTTCTACGCAATAAAAACCAAACGGGAAAAAAAAAAACCAACCAAAAACCACCAAACCCTTTCTGTAAAAGGCAGTGAAACGGAAACCTCGGGGGCACCACAGCCCGGCGCTTCTCGCTGCGGGGGAAGCCACGTCCCGCTCCGCACCTACGGCGGGGGGGGGGGGCGCCCC